GTGGCGCAGGCCGCCCCGCCGTTGCACTCTGTGCAACTTCTGCTTTATGCGGTGGCTGGCCAGGGCCTTCCCACTCCGTACCGGGGCCCCGTAAAGGGCCCCGGACAGGACGGCGTGCATATAAGCCCGCCTGACCGACCCGTTCGGACCGTGGAGGTTGGGCATGAGGCCGAGCAGAGCGTCTGCTCGGCGGCCCAACCGCGGGGCTATCTCGTCGAAGTGTTCGACGAAGCCCCAGCGACTATTCACGATGAGGCCCAGATAATTGATCGTTGGCCTCACCGCGAGAGGCCCAGATCGTTGGCCTCACCGGGACGCGGACAGCGTCCACCACTATATGTTCCTGAGGGGGCACTCCGCTCTTTCCATCGTGGTAGAAAAGAGCTTCCGATTTAGCGGGGGGCCACCCTCAGGCTCAACTCCTTAATGGAGCCGACCACGCACGCCACTGCGACGTTTGCCGTACCGACGGCTCGCTCCCAGGTCGTGGCCCCGACCCCCACCAACGTGTTGTCCGCGTAACAAACGACGTGGCAGCCGGGGAGTAGGGCCGCGCGGATTACGTAGTCGTAGGCGACGTTTCAGAGTAGGGGTCCCAACACGGACCCCTGTGGAAGCCGCACGACACGTCCCTCCGCTGCTGGAGTCCCGTTTTGTTATGGAACTCCAGCTGCCTGTTCCGGAAATAGTCCTCTATAATAGCGACTAGATAGGGGGGCAAGAGGTGATGTCCTCTCATCGCCCCCATTACCCGGCCCCATGGGATGCTATTAAAGGCGTTGGCGATGTCAAGGGATACCGCCAACGCCACCTCCCCTCCCGCGGTTATCTGCTCCGTGAGGGCCCTGACTTGCCTGACGGCGTCGATAGTCGATAGCCCCTCCCGAAAGCCATACTGACCGCGAGATAGATTGGGACCATCCCGGGACAGGTGCCGGACGATGCGGGCAGCGATGACTCGCTCTAGCAATTTCCCCGTATCGTCCAACAGGCATAACGGCCTATAAGCGGAGGGACTCTCCGCTGGCTTGTCCTCTTTACGGAGGAGGACAAGCCTGGCCCTTTTCCACGGCCTGGGAAATATGCCGTCTCTGAGACAGCTCGTGAAGAGCCGCGCCAGACGGCTGCCCACTATGGTAGCCGCGGCGAGCCAGATCCTTCCGTGTACACCAGAGGGTCCGGGCACCCGCGGCCTCCCCTTGAGGCGGGCGAAGGCCATCACCATCTCCTCCCGGGTGACGCCCAGCTCCTCCGTCCATTCGGACCCTCTCCAGTATTTCCCTTTCCCTTGGGAAAGAGGGCGGTCACCACATCCTCCAGGAACTGAGCGTCCAGGGTTTCCGTTATCGGGGGGGGCCCACGGACGAAATTGCTTCGTCACAATTTGATAGGGCCTCCCCCCCGGATCTCTGTCAAGGGAGGAGACGAGGTCGCGCCAAGCGTCGGCCTTCGTCCTCCTAATGGCCGCTCTAAGGGCGCTCCTAGCTTCACGGAGCGCCTCGGCGGCCACTTCCACCTCCTCGTCGGTGCCCCGTCGTCTGCGGCGGGTGACCCTCCGTCGGGCAGCTACGGCTGCCCGTCGTAGCTCAGCTATCTCCTCGGACCACCAGTAGACTGCCCACCTCGCCACAGGATGGCAGAGGGGCATCGATGCGTCGCACGCGCGCGACATGGCGTCCCCGAGCCATTCGGCCTCCACCAAGCGGGCCTGGTTGGGTTCCGGCCACGTGGAGGAGAGGAGGCTCACCTCGAGGGCGCCGGGGTCCAACTTGCGCAGGGCCCATTGACGTTCCTTCTCATGTAGGCGGCGTCTTATCGACCTCCGTGGGGGTGGACACCAGCTCCATGTGGATCAGACGATGATCCGACAATTCTCCTAAGGAGCTGGCGTCCACGTGCCAATCACGTATCCTGGCGGCAGCCGCGGGGGTCGCCCACGTCAGATCGACAATGGACTCCCCCCGAGCCCCCACGAGGGTACTGGCATGGCCTCTATTCAACAAGACTAGGCCGTGCCTCGCCGCCCGGATATACAGACGCCTGCACAACATGCAAGCGGCGCAGAACACTACGGCTCCTCAGCGGAGCTATGCATATACGGAGAAGAGATCAGCGAACCCCCTGGCGGGTCGAATCTCCGCTCACGAGCGCGTTCATCCTCCTCCTTCCGCCGCATAACCACTTCGCAGAAGTCCGCAAAAACGGACCATGCTTCGGGAGAACGCATGATGGCTCTCACCACCGCCCGAAAGATTCTATCAATCCCCACTATCTCCAGCAGCCCACTCCTCCGCTCCGCCCAAACCGGACAGAACAGAAGAGTGTGCGCCGCCGTGTCCACCGCCACTCGACAGAATAGACAGATCGGGGATTCCCGCCGTCCAATCTTATATAAGTAGGATTTAAAGACCCCGTGTCCCGTTAGAACCTGAGTGATGCGGTAGGTGAGGGCACCATGCGCCCTCTCCATCCAGATCCCCAAGTCCTCCGCGAAGGCGTCCCTTACAATCGCACCAGGGCGTCCCGGAGGCAGGTCAACCAGTCGTTCACGTCACCTCGAAACAGAGCGGCGACGCTCCATCTCGACCAGTATTGAGCTCACTCGACGCGCAATACTACCGTCCCGAGCTATAATTTCCTGCCGCTGAAGGTAAGACCTTCTTAATTGGTCCGCAACTATGTCGAATGGAACCATCCCCGAGAGGACAGCCTCGTGGCAAATTGTACGATATCCACGGATGATCTTGAGGGCAAGCTATCCCTGCAGCCTACGCATCTCTCAGGATCCCGTGATCACCGGCAACAGTCTACGTCCAGATCGGAGCGCCATACAAGACAACCGACATGACCACCATCGCGTATAAACGCTGCCGTCGCTCACCAGAGCCATCAATGTTGGCGGTAAGACGCACCAAAACCATTGCCATGCCTCAGGCTTTGGGCAGGAGAAGGCGGAAATGGTCCCGGAAGGTCCACCGCGAATCCAGAGTTAAACCCAATTATTTCATGGCGGACCCAATCGAAACCACCGCCCCCCCCAACCCTAATAGTAGCTCCGACCGGCGTCCCTTCAGCCGAGAAGACCACAGCCTCGGTCTTGACAACCGAGATCTTAAGTCCAAGACGCTCTATGGTCTTCCACCAGTAAGTGGTGGGTCTCCTCGACCACCCCCTCCTGGGCATGGAGACGTCCGAGATATCCTGGAGCAGCCGATCCATTCGTTTAGCTTCAAGCGTGGCATCCTCAGGAATACCGCTCCAAGCCGAAAAGACTGCCGCGGCTTCCAAAAGATCCGGATCGATTCTTCCGACAGCCCATCTCGGAAAGGCCTTAAGTGTAGTTCCTCCAATGATGGACCCAGCCAGAGAGGCATTGACTTCGATGAATATATACTTGTGATCCGAGAGGGACTCTATCTCAGATCCGACACGCCAAGAGGTGATCCTCCTGGCCGCAGAGGACGACGCCAGTGTGAGATCAACGCAAGGTACTCCACGCGCAGTACATTCAGTATCTGCATTTCCAAAAGACCCAACCAGTCCGCCAGGAGTCTTCCCCTTCTGTTAGGTTGACCAGAATCCCAGAAGGGCGACCGTGCATTAAAGTCTCCCAACACCGGGATGACCGGGCGTCCAGGCACTTCACGCACTTCCTCCTCCATCTCACGTAAGTCTCGCAAAAATGCACCGTCACTAAGACTAGGAGGAAAGTAGCATGATACGACGATCCCCCCAGTCCAATCCGCTGCAAACCGCTTACCTCTCCATCGAGGAAAGCACGGCACCCTCGAACGACTCCACTGACAGGTGACAGCGGCCGAAGGAGGAGTGTCCGTGGAGGCCAACCAGTGTTCGTCATCAGGAACGCGATTCGCCGCAACTAGATCAAACTCCTCGCAGATCCTAGCAATTAGGTCCTGCGAGGGTCTCGATCGATTGATATTGATCTGAGCCAATCTAGCCATCGACCGTATCCATGACCGACACCTCATCCGCAAGAACCGAAGTTCCCCGATCGACCCCAGTGGATGTGCCCGCCACATTGCTTACGTTTGAGTCATTTGCTAGCACTTGTTCACGACCATTGAAGGGCACGCACTCCGTCGCTCCAGCGCGATGTCCCGCCGCGAGTCCTCTGGCCGCACTGACTGGACAATGCGGGGGCAGCCGGCAACCGGCGGCCCTATGCCCATCGTTCCCGCCACACTGAAAATACCAGGTGGAGCGATCCACCCCATTCTGGTAGTTCACCTTGGTGTGTCCCACCGCCAAACACCGGAAACATTGAAGTCTCCGCTTCGCTAGGGGCACAATACCAGCGGAGGACCAACCGAGTCTAATGCGTCCAGCCTTTATCAATCTATTGGCACACGCCAGGGGACATTGCACCCACACTATGTTAAGACCCCCACGCCCTGGCCTAAAAGGACCAGTCCTAATGTCTGTGGCAGGGACTTCCCCGATGGTAGCTACCGCCTTGACCACCTCCTCTGCAGAGACAGACTGATCCACGTCGATCAGTCTGACCTCCGCGCGATAAACAGGGCGCACCACACTTATCCTGTCCTCACTCTCCGCCAGCATCGCCTTGAGACGATCCACGAGCGCCTCTGCCTTGGCATCCGCCTCCTCGCCTCTGGGGATCTCGATGAGGAGGCCACCCGCCTGCGCTTTCCGGATCCGTGTGTTGGCGATATTCAGTTCTTCCAGGGAAATCTTCCCTCTCGCCAACCTCACTACATCCGCATATGACGACCGGAATTGTCCCCCGTCTCCGCACATCTCAAGAGTACAGCCGCCGTCTTTGGGGCTCGAAAACGAGACTCCCTCATGACAGGGTGGCTCGGCATTACCTTCGGACCCCGTACTGTAGGGCAGGATACATCCGCATCCTTTCGGCTCCCAGATACGCCATCCACGACAGCGGCATACGAAACTCGGGCAGTCTTAGATACTCCACTATTGGTAACATCCCGACGCGTACTACCAACCCCACTCAAGGGGGGAGGCACGGTACCCAATTCAGTCCTATTTCCAGCTTTCGCACTGGGAACCTCAGCTTTCTTTCTTTTCTTCTTCCTGGCTTTTTTACGTGCACGCTTGGAGTCTGCCTCCATCCATGCCTCGCCATCCACGGGATACGTCGGCAAAGGCGACGGAAGCTCCACTCGCTGAGCGCCCGTTGATACAGTCTCACTTCCTCCGCGCACAGTCCCCTTGTCCACTCGCGAATCACCACAATCATCCGAAGCGATCCGCAACGAGCCCACCATAATGATACGTCCTGAATGATACGTCTGTCAACTTTGGTGGGTCGAGGAGGCACATCCTCCAACTTTTTGCGAGTCTCACCAAGAGACCTATATACCGGAGACCTATTTGGAAATCCAGTCTCCCGCCCCGCTTCGTCCACGACAGGGTCCCGACGTCGCAAAGAGCGTCCCCGAGAGCGGCGCGAAATAGGGGAGTCACATACAAGGATGATCTCGTCCAAAGAAGGAGTAAGATCTCTACCGCGGTCCCCATCCCTCATTATCTGCACCGTGCGCCTAAGGGACTCAACCTGATCCCTCAGGGAGTCTCTCACGCGACGCAGTAAGTCCATCTCCCTGCGAAGTCTTATAATCTCCCTCTCCAGGGCCAGATTATTGGCCCTAATCTCGTCCGAAGGCCCCGATCTCTTGTCAATGTCCGAGACAAGACGCTGCACCGCAATCTTAGCAACATTGACGCCAACTTTTATCTGCCGGCCAAGAGCTCCGTTTATTGTGAGAGTCCTCCTCTCAGCCTCACCGGCAATGTCCAGGACCCGCAACGTCTCAGCCACCACCGACTTCGGCGACGTCCCGTAAAGAGACCCGTAACCTCTTCGATAGCGATCTTCTGACCATGAAAGTCTGTCATCCAGGCTGCAATCGACCAGACCTTTCCTCTTCTTCAGGTCTTGTGCCCCCCTCTTAGGAATCTTGAAAAAATCCTGCCTCAATCCCATTCGTCGTCCTCAAGCTCCAATCGTTTCGATGATATCTTCGTCATGGCACGAGGGCGAGAAGTATTACTGCCTTTTGGTTTTTGTCCCCTCTTCTTTCCTTTATACGGGACCTGCTCGAAGGAGGACGAGAACTCCCCATCATCCTTCATCGGAGTAGACGCCAATAAGACGCCACCACACTGCGAGCCCGCACGATCCACTATCGTCACTGGATGCAGGCAAAGTGAGATTCACCACGCCTGGATCTCTGATCGAGCCAAAGCCGCCGGGAGCCGACGTGCCAGCCGACCCGCTATCAGCAACAGGGAAGTTAACAATCTCCCCCGCCACCACTCTAATTCTCATCTCTTTGGGATACTTCTTAAAGTCCACTATCCTCGGTCTCCTCTTGGATCGCAGTACAGAGGCAGGTTCGGAAGCCCCCCGAGTCTTCGGTCGAAGCGCCCGCAGCCGCAACTGCGTCGGCCTCCCTACGGTCCAGAAACAACCGTAATTCTTTCCTCTTCTGCGGGAGATGGCGAGGCAACCTCAGACTCCTTCCGCTCAGTCGACCCAGAAGGTGCGGGTTCCTACGCACCCAAAATTCCTTCCACTTATTCCATCCGGACGGTAGCAGATTCAACTGCAGGGCAACCCTGCAGTCAGCCCATCGCATGATGACGACATGCCGGGGGCAGGGACAACATCCCCGGTCAGCCGGTCCTGGGTTCCGAATCCCAGGCGGTTATTTTCATTTCCGGTGTCCATATCATAATGTCTTGGTTGCCGGCGTAATAGTACGGCCGAGGAGCACGCCGACCAACTCCCCGGTTCGTCTTCGATCTTCACGGCGTCGAGTTGATAGCCGCCACATCGATGTAGGGAAGAAAACACAGCAAAACTTCCCACAGGAGGGAAGTTCACCCACATCGATGAAGGAGTGTCAATAATCCCGTCATAGTCCACGCACAACACACCGCGCCGCGCGCGAAGAGAGACCACCGGACCGACGACACTCCCAATGCAAAAGGCGCAGATTTGAAGTCGCCCCTCATTTGCTGGGATATATCCCAGTTCCCCCTCACTTGGCCGCTATTGAGTGGTTCATCCATCATCCATTCATCCCGTGGCCGCGTACCACTATCACGAGACAGGGGGACCTTTTATAGAGGGCCCACCTTATCGTCCGAGAAGTTGGGTGCAATCTCGGACGCTCGGTCTCTCCCAGTGGTGCAAGGAAAGAGATTACGAGAGCTCAGGCACCGCGGGTTCGCTAAACCCGTAGTGGAATCATATCAAGATGCGTCTGGGGATGCCGGATCGCATCAGAGATGATCCCACCCCCTGTGGGAAGCCTAACCTAAGCTTAACCTAAGCCTAACTTAATCATGGCTATGTAATAACCTAACCCTAATCTTGCGATCGCATATAAAATTTCAACCCGGCAGAACAATTATAAAATATCCTACAAAATTCCAGCAGACGGTCAACGAAGACATCCACTAGGTAGCAGCCGAACCAATCAGCAAGGAAGGATCAACTAAGTCAACTGAGACTGATAGAAGAAGAACTACAAGGACAGGAAGAACATCGTGAAACGAGCAAATAGATATAAATAATAAGAAAGAATAAGTTTTAAAATAATGTACAAAAATATTGTTCTAGTATTAAGTTTTTTATATAATATATTTTATGCAATTAAATTTTAGAAAAGTTTTATAGAAATTAACGAACGTTGAAGCAATGTTAAGTTGAAAATATAATATGTAAAGTTCAGTCATCGATGATGATCTCATTTAACGTAATATTTATTTTTTGTTCATATAGAAATATCGTAACTTACAATTCATTTTGATACTTATTTTATTTTATTATTATGTTTTTGTTTTAATGAGCAATTAAGCCTGTAAACTAAAAGTGTCTGTAATGATAAGAAAGAAAGTATTTTTATAACACGTGAGTAAATGATAAAATATTACAAATCTCAACAATGCTTACCCATCCTTAAAAAAGAAGCGAACCCAAGTTGATAGACGAATCTGAAAGAAAGAGAGAAAAAGAATTAGAATTAGAAGTTATAATAATATTATGTAAAGCTCATTTTCCTATAAATTTTGAGTAGAATTAACTTGAAAGTAAAAAAGAGATGAATAACAAAGTAAAAATAAATACAAAAAATTTTATATTTACCTCGAATGTGTACGTTTGAATCGATCCATCAAATTGAGGGCGTTGGAACCTGAAAGAATAAGAAGTTAAAGAAAACTATCCAGTATATGAATCAATAATTTAGTAGAGTAAAGATTTTAAATAAATAAGTAGTATGTGTAAATTTTAAAGTAATGAAAGTTAATAGTTTAGTAAATGAGAAGAAGAGATTTCATCTAGTGAATAATTTTCAGTTCTGCGATAGCAGCGGACAACTTAAAAAAGTTTGATTAGATTTTGAGTTTGTTCTATCCTGAAAAAAAAGTTTTTTATTGTATCATATTAAAGATAAACAGAAAGTAAGAAAAAAATAGGAATCGATTTAGAAATTAGTTTCCAATTCATTTAAGTAATTATAATTTGCTGGATACAATTTTAGCAATCAAAGTTACAGAATATCATTTTATGAGGAATTTTTTCACGGGGAATTTTTCTACCTGCAAGGTAATTTTCTGTAAGATTCAAAAAGATAGACACGAGATAAAAAAGGATAGAATGAGTTTTTTCGTTTTGGGTAAATTCGAAAGGATAATCAGTGTTTTATATATAGAATGAGGCTATTTACAGCTAAAAAATGTGTTTGAAATAAAATTTAATCAGCCATTAGTTTTTTATCCATCCTTTTTGATTATTCGATTTTGATTGGTCGACGAGTAGAAGTAACTAGCCGGGACAAAAGAATTCGAGGAAAACGGGCGAAACAATTACAAATTACATTAAGAAACAAGCTCGATAGATTCTAAGTAAGATTTTCTAGGATTTTTGTAGAATTAGTTAACATCAGCACACATCCATTTGACAGGTTAGGAACCCTTGTAACAAGATCAATATATCGAGAGACACAAAGAACAGAAGATTTATTTTCATTAAAGATGATTGAAAATAGACAGAATACAAATAATTAGTAATGATTTCGATGCCGGAAATGGATATTTTATGCTTTATGCAATGACATCGATCGATCGATATATCGATACGCGTGCAAATTCGTAAAGAAGGATAAAACTAACAAAATCTTTTATTTTATATTTAAATTAACAGCAACAAAGCTTGTAATCTCCATTTTAAGAATCAATGAGTACGGAATGAGTGAGTAATTGTCCGGAAAGTAGTTCTTGTATCCAGGACCTGCCATATTGGTATGGCACCACCGACGGTGATGAAGAAGACGCCATTACAATTAATCAACAACGACATTTGACCGAGGTGGATCGTATTAACACGTTGCTCGAAGAACAGCAAAAAACGCTTCGAATTGATTATCGAAATAAAGATTATGCGTCGCGAAGATGCAAAAAGCGTTAGCAGCGCAGAAATAGATGCACTTATAGAAATAATCGCGAATACGCGAGTTTTGATTAAATTTTGATTTGAGCGATTGATCAATAATGCGAGAACGCGAAATAAAACACGATAAAAGCGATTAAAGTTCTAGATTAAGAAATTCAAGATTTTCGAGATTACACCTCAGAGATTAGAGGTTGCATCATTTTACGCCATTTTACATAAAGACGGTAATACGCAGTAACAAAAGAACGTTATAGGACGTTTCAAAACCGAAAATAGAAATATTCACGCGAGCAAGTGAATGAGCAAAGAGTGAATGTAAAAAATTTGTTATAAAGACAATAAATTTTATTTTTGTATAAAAGTGATCAAAGTAAATGCTTTGCAAGAAAACCTCTTCCAAACCTACAAAGCTCAGATTATAGGATTAAATCATTGTGACCAAGATCTATGCATATGTGCTGAGCTGACATCCCATCCATCAAATTCAACAAAGGGGGATCCAGAAGAAGACCTGAGGCAAGGATTAATTATCCATCCAGAGAATCAATTTCTATAAGCAACTTTCTCAGTTGGAGGTTAAATTGAGTGGCGACTGTCGAAGTAGTAAGTGATTACGAACCAGCATAGTTATTCAGCCAGTTATTTAATTTGTCCATCGATTCAAACAATTAATTCGGTAAACCGGTCACAACCGAACCATGGGTGGCATGAATATACGGCCTCACTCGTCTCAAGCAGATAGAGCGGACTAAACTGAGTAGAAAAGTCCTCTATTATTTTGCAGCAATGCTCGCAATAATTAACGAGATGTTAACGTTTAAAAATAGCCGAATACGCCAACCGACCTACTATTGTCGAAGGTACAACCCACCGAGCGCACGGCGTGCGGCCCACGAAGAGCGGGAATGGCTTAGCAGGCGCGCCGCGCCATTCGAGCTTAGTGGTCGCGGCGGTGAGCGGGGAGTTCCACTCCCCGCGCGACAAGCTATCGATGGCTATATTCGGCGCTTTAGAAATAATATCTCCAATTCTTGTCACCGAACCAATGTCTTTCCTCGGAAGTAGTCCACGATCGTAGAGATTAGATAGGGAGGTACCTGGTGATACTACAGCGCCTCCACTATCTGTCCCCAGGGGAGGGTGTTGAACGCGTTAGTTATGTGATGACACTGCAACTATCCCCCCTCTCTCATCCACCATGGGTCTCATAAAGGCTCTCATTTGACGAATCGTATCGAATGTCGAGAAACCTCCGCGGAACTCGTATTGGCCAGGACTTAAATTCGGCTCCTTGCGGATCAGGCTCGATGATCCAGTCGGCAAATATTCGCTTGATTATTTTACCAGACTCATTAAGCAAGCAAATTGGCCGATAGGCCGATGGAGACTCTGGGTCCCGGTCCTCCTTGCAGAAAAACCAGGCTCGCCCTCTTCCAAACTAAGGGGAACTGCCTCTGCTTGAGACAACTGTTGTGCAGTTATCTCAAGGGCTCTCCTATCTCTTCGGAGACCAATGCCCAAAT